AGTCACTGAGCGATTGTTCCAGCTGCAGAGGATGGCACGTCCTGGGCCCAGGGCTTCCTTTGCATCCTCCGTGCAGGGCCAGGCCGGGGGGTGGGGGGTATGGGGGTGTGCCAGGTGGGGTGCAATTAGTGGCTAATCTCACGCCTGGAAGCAGCAGGGTTAGGTTCTCAGCTTCTCAGTCCCAGTGTAAACCGGAGTTGAGCCTCAGTGTGGTGCAGGATTAGAAAGAAAATACGGCGGGATGAAAGGTCAGGAGTGGATTCTGGGACCTGGCTGACCCTGGGTGATTGTGAACAGACTCCTCAATGAGGGGTATTCTGCTCAGAAGTCCCCCTCCCAGATGTATAGTTAAAGGGAGCTTTCTGCACGGCACTTGAAACCTGAATTATTGGCTGTGATCAGTGCTGGGAGGGGAGGGCCCTTGGTCTCAGAGGAAGGGTCGATCCAGTTTGTGGATTGCCGGGATGCTTGTTTTCGTTCTTTTCCTGCCTGCTGCCCAGCCTTCTGGCTGTTTTACTGCTTATTAGCCTCTTTGTTAGAGCGAGAAACAAACAAAAGGAGTTAAAATTCAACTTCTGGTTTTACTTCTGGCTTAGCGGCTTTCAATAAAGGTTAGTTGGGTGGGTTAGGAGTGCGGAAGGTAAAGATCTGAATTATCTGTTTGGGTGATTGATTAGTTCAGACTGTCTGCCCTTCTGTCCCTCGCAGTATGGCCATTATGAGCAGAAAGTGAAAAGGGAGCTTCTTTGTAACAAAAGGACAGGCGTGAGAGCCTAATTGGAAAGTATGCATGCCCAAAATGTGTAGCCAAGAACATGTTTCAAAAACATGAAAAATGAAAATAAGGCAAGCAAAGAATACTTTAGAAAGCTCAAGCTGAGTTACTTTATGGCAGGAAATGAACAAGTTAATATTAGGATTGGGTTTTTCTTTGCAGTTGGAAAAGGCTATGCAATTGACTGATAAAGACAGCTAATTTTCAGTATTTTTTAATCCTTTTTTTTGGGGGGGGGCTTGTATTAAATTTAAGACTGTAAGACTTATCACTAGTTCTTGGAGACACCGTAGGTGAAAATCCTCACACATCTAGCTGAAAATATCTCTCTTTGGGAGGGTGTAACATTTCACTTGAAAAGAAGTGTTAAAAATCCTGCCGGATCACAGGTGACAAATGGAGCTGCAAAGGGCACAGAAAATCCGTGGTTTTGACTTAAGGTGTTACCCGAGCCTGTGGCTGGTTACGAACAGTTGTGTGCCTGCAGCCATCCATCCAAATTTGCTCAGTGCTGGCTTGCTTGCTGTGAAAGAATGTGGCATTAAGGGGATCCAAGGAGCTCCTCATTAAGCTCAGGCTCCATGTCTTCAAGGGCCACTGAACGATTGGAACTTTAATCAACATGCATGAGGAAAGGACCTCGGGTGGCTGTTCATACCATTGAATTAATCAGAAAAGGGACCAGAGAAGGGGAAAGGGGGGTGATGTGCCCCCCCCCGCCCCAAGCACTCAGCACCTGTAGCTGTTTCTCCTGTGATAGAAAAAGCAGTGTCCCTAGAGGCTGTCTGCATCCGGAGTGAGTAGAAGCTTGCCATGAATGCAGCTTCAGGGTGGGGACTGAAGTAGACCTATGATAGAGAGGGTCTCCAGGGGTCCCTAGATGCGGGAGAAGCTGCTGCCCTTGGAAGGCCTGGTTGTATTCAAAGCCCACCTCAAAGGTGGTCTCTTCAGAAGCGGATCTGTGCAGCGGGAGGCAAGCCTCCTTTTTATCCATGGCCAGAAAGGAGGTCAGGGAAGGAGGGCGAGTGAGGGGAGACCCTGCGCCAAAAGGCAGACCAAAGAGAGAAAACTGAACCAGACGGGAAAGTGCACTTAAAAGGAATGGGAGTGGGGGTGGCCGCTGCAAAGGCGGTGGAATAAGGCCTAAGGCCTCCAGGAGAGAAAGCAAACAAATAAGGAAATTGAATCAAATCAGATGAAGTCCTTTTAAGGAAAAGATGGTGTTAGCAAAACAAATAAGTCAATAGAGGATAAGAAAAAGCACACTGGTGAAACTGCCAGAGGAAAGTTTCAGCAAGTGTGAAGGAGAGAGGGAAGCTCAGATTGGAAACTGAGGCTAAAGTTCTTAAGGAGGTTGGAGGCTGGGGACATCTTTGAGATGGGGGTCATGTACGCTTTCGTGTCCTATTTGTCTTCATTGATGATGCCCGGAAAGTTCCATGTATTTCAGTGCAACATATGTAATGATTAATGCATTTAAAGGTAAAGGTAGAACATTAGATCCATGTAAGGAGGGACGGTTTTGAAAAGAGGGGCCTTTTAGAGCCAGAAAGTTTGTCCTCCTTTATTTGTGTTGCTTTGACTAACTCCTGCCTTTTTTTCTTTTTCTTTTTTTTTTTTTAAGATTTTATTTATTTATTTGACAGAGACACAGTGAGAGAGGGAACACAGGCAGGGGGAGTGGGAGAGGGAGAAGCAGGCTTCCTGCGGAGCAGGGAGCCCTGATATGGGGCTCAATCCCAGGACCCTGGGATCATGACCTGAGCTGAAGGTGGACGCTTAACGACTGAGCCACCCAGGCACCCCGACAAACTCCTGCTTTAATCAGATTTTCTTTCCAACTGTTCTGTCAGTAGTAGGAGGAAGACTTTGTTAATCTCATTTTCTAGAACCATCGATGTGGGAAGTGAGGTTTGCAGAGGTCAAATGAGTGCCTCCATCTCTTTCCTTACCTGTGTCTTGAGTCAGAAGCAAAGAGAACCAGAATTGTCTGTAAACTAGATTGTGGAGAAGGTGGTGTGCTGGTTTCATTCAAGACTATTTGTGGTATGTCCTTCAGTTTACTCTTGTTACAAAGAACTTAGACGTGGTATATTTTGATAGCATTTGCTATTTGCTGGTAGTTTCTTTGGTAATATGTTGTTGAGTGACACTGTATGCTTGCTGCCATATTTGGTTATGATAATGGGTAGTCTTCAGTGCTGGAAGAACGGAATTGGCTCTTAACTGAAGTCTAGTGAAAAGACTGAAGTATCTAGTAAATATCTAAATTAGGAGAATGGTGGGCTAGAGTTGGATCGGAGTTGGTTGAATGTTAAGAAGGAAACTTGGAGAGATGAAGACTTGTCTGTTCATTTATTTATTGAGCACCTACTACAGTTGAAGCACTGCGCTAGGATCTAGTAAAATAAAGGTTTTTGAAAAGAGCACTGTTCATGACGCTTATTATGGAATGGGGTGACAAACACAAACAGACGCTTTTAAACCTTACTGGGGTTGCGGTATCTGGATTGGCTCCAAGACTTTGCATTGTTTTTGGAGATAAGTGACGCTGGGGGAGAAGTCTGTAAAGATGATGTGGGATGGAGGTACACTAACTCTACGGTGACTGACTGCCGCTTCTTCACACCTGTAACTAAATCTCTGAAGCAAGTGACACTTACAGAGCGGGGTTTCTGTGTGCTGCTCGAGAGACCTCTCCGTAACTCCTCCTGATGGGCGGATGTAGGTCTGAGGGTAATGCATAGTGGAAAAGGCCTTGGTGAGGAAAAGGGAACAAAAGATGTATTCGTTTTCTATTGCTGAGGTAACAAATTGCCACGAACTTAGTGGCTTAAAACAACACAAATTTATTATCTTGCAGTTCTGTAGATCAGAACTGTGATGAGTCTCACTCATGGCACTAAAATCGATGTGTTGGCAGGCCTGTGTTTCTTCTGGAGGCTCTAGGGAAGAACTAGTTTCCTTGCTGTTTCTCGTTGCCCATATTCCTTGGCTCATGGCCCCATTCCTCCATATTTAAAGCAAGTAATGTCCAGCCATGTCCTTATGCTGTCATCTCTCTGGTTTTCTGGCCACAGCCTTGAAAGATTGGTCCCACCTGGATAAACCAGGGTAATCTCCCTATCACAGGGTCCTTTAACTCTCATCAGCCTTTTGCCATGGATGCTAATACGTATTTCCAGGTTCTGGGGATTAGGATGTGGACATCTTTGTGTGTTGGAAAAGGAGGAATGGGATCTTGCTGCTGTGTCTTTGGTTCTCTGACCCAGGTAAACGGGCCCCCAGATTTTCTTGCACGTGTTTATACTGCTGCCATAATTGCTAGACTGCTGTTTTTGATAGGTCATTCTTTGACTCAGAAATACTCCTTGGCAAGGCACTCAGGTCACCCTATAGGAGGGTCCTAGTCACCCCTTCTCATCGTGGTCTTGTACGAGAACTCTGTGTTCTGGTTGGATGTGTTTACTTGCCATTGCCCTCTGTCCCCTGCTCAGTTCTGCACATTGCACATTCCTGACTCCACGCCTTTGCCTGACTCGTAGTTTCTGCCAGACCAAAACACTGTCTTCCCTTATTTCTGCCCATCCTTCCTATGAAATCTGTGACATTGACCATCCTTACTCCACATTTGGAGTTGATCATAATTAGCTAGTGCTATTATTTAATTTCTTTGTGAATGCATTTGATCTTTCCCTCTAGACTAGCCATCCTGAAGTGGTTAAAAGGCTGGATCCTGGATTCAGCCTTAGAGAGACTGATTGAGTGGTCTGGGATGGGGCCCAGGAATTTGGCTTTTTAATAGACTTGGTGGGCGATGCTGAAACAGGCAGCCTACAGGCAACACGTGCTGGACGCTCCTGGAGAGGGGGAGTGAATGATCTATCCTCTCCTAGTGATAGACATCATGCTGTCCTTGTCGGGGGAGATGATGGTATTTTTGAGAAATGAATGCCAGTTTACCACAGGTGAGTATGAATCTAGAAAGAGCGTGTCTTCTGGGACGTGTGCATTAGATTGAGTTCAGGGCACCCGACTGTGCACCATCTTTTTGGAACCAGTGTTGAGTTGTAAAGTTCAAAGGCAGACGAAGAGCCAGTCTGCGCACTCGAGCGGGAGTGGGTGAGACAGATGGGACAGCTGAGATTTGGGGATGACCTGTTTGGGATGGCAAAATTGCCGTGCCTCCTGGTTTACTTTTTTATCGAACTTTTCTGTGTTTCAGGGACCTAACGCGAAATATCAAAAGCAGGAATTCTGTCATGGAAAAGATTCGAAAGAGGGAAGATGGCTAATTCTTGGGAACATGCAGAGGGAACGCTGTGCTTTCAGTGCATTCTGATAACAAGCTCTTCTTGATGGTTGGAATGCAAAGAATACCCCAAAATCTGAATTCCCACTGAACCAAACATTTTTGGAATCATGGCCTTTCATGAATATGCCATGATTTTTATTTCTGCTGCTGTTAAGATTGGAATGGAGTCTTTGTTATTTTACATTTATTTTCTAGACCCCCTAGGAGGGCTTAGGTCCAAATAAATAGATTTATTTTTATGAAATTGATTTTGCCTTTTCCCATTTTGGGGGGATCTTATTGCATTAAGTGAAACTCTTGTGAGCTAATTAAGCAACATTTTTTTATTTCTTTCAATTTTCTACTTTTCATTAATTTTTCTATCAATTTTATGGCAGAAAAGAGAAGACGTCAGTTTTTATTAAAAGAGCCTTAAATAACTAGCTATTTTAGAGTTCTTACAATAGGTTTCTACCTATTACAAATAATTAAAAGAATTTAACCTGGGCCAGAAGAGGAAGTACTAAACGTAACGCATGTTTCTGTGAGCTAGAAGCTGTCAGAGAGGCGATACACTTGAATTGGAAATCACCAAAATTTCCTTCTGGTTTCCTAGTCACCAAACAAAACATAGGCGTTTAAACAATACTGCTATCTTTTGTGAAAGGGGAACAACTATTATAAGATGAAGTGTGTGAGACACTTTAATAACCAGCCTCTGATTCAATTTAAGCCAGTTCTCTATGTGCCTGTTAAAATAAAAATATTCCATAAATTGAGTAAATTGTGAACATTCACATGTCTTTTTCACTGAGCTCATTTGCATACCTAGTGGTCATTTTATCTTCCGTTGGTGGTAAAGCTCTATGCTCTATGACAAGACCAGATTCTGATTGAAAGAAGTCAGGTGGGACCAAAGAATATAGCATGTTCTGTGTGTGTCGGGCTAAATTAAAATATTGATAATTAATGTAACTATTTGGTTTCAGATGCTTGATTTTTTTTTTTTTTCCAGCAGCCATTAAGTGTACAGTGTCTGACCAGATAAAATAAATGGAAAGGCAGAAGGAAGTTACTGCTCAAGTTGTCCCTACATACAAGATTTCTTCTGGATGGAAATCTATTTGTTACAAAGCTCACAGCTGAAATTCAACCCATGTAACCAAACTTAGGAGCAAGCAAAGTATTTTGGCCTAGTATTGAATTAAATTGAGTCAATAGTTGTTTAAAACCTTGTCTGTCCGCAGTGGTCCTCTCTGTAGAGAATAAGAAAAGAGTAATACATATAATCCTTGCCTTCAGAGAACTGATAAGTTAGAACAGAGCTGTACAATAGAAATATTGTGAACCATGTAACTTAAATTTCCCAGTAGCCGCATTAAAAGATAAGACAGGTGAAATTATTGTTTTTTAAAGACTTTATTTATTTAGAGAGAATGTGAGCAGGGGGAGGGACAGAGGGAAAGGAAGAGAGAAAGAATCCCAAATCGACTCCGTGCTGAGGGTGGAGCCCCACATGGGGCTTGATCCCACAACCCTGAGATCATGACCTGAGCAGAAACCAAGAGCTGGTCATGCAACTGACTGAGCCACCCAGGTTCCCCGGTGGAATTATTATTTTTTAAAGATCTATTTATTTTTTTGTGGGGGGAGAGAGAGCGAGAGAGAACGCACCTGTGCATGTGGGAGAGGTGAGGGGCAGAGGGAGAGGGAAAGAGAAAATCCCAAGCAGACTCCCCACTGGGCACAGAGCCTGACTCGGGGCTGGATCTC